GATGCTCGAGCATATGTTGCACAATGTGATAGGTGTCAAAGAACAGGTAACATCACTAAGAGAGATGAGATCCCATAATTTTCGGTATTCTATTCATCTGGGCACCGCTAAGATGTATCCGGACTTGCGGCAGTATTATTGGTGGAGGAGGATGAAGAAGGATATTGTTGCGTACGTAGCTTGGTGTTTGAATTGTAAGCAGCTAAAGTACGAGCATTAGAGGCCTGGTGGTTTGCTTCAGAAGATTGAGATTCTTGAGTGAAAATGGGAGTGTATCACTATGGACTTCGTTGTTGGACTCCCATGGACTCATAGAAAGTTTGGGTTATTGTGGATAGGCTGATTAAGTTAGCGCATTTCATTCCTGTGGCAGTTTCATATTCTTCTGAGTGGTTGGAAGAGATTTATATCCGTGAGATCGTTCGTCTTCATGGTGTGCCCGTGTCTATCATTTCTGATCGAGGCATGCAGTTTACCTCGCATTTCTAGAGGGCAGTGCAGCATGAGTTGGGTACGCGGGTCGAGTTGAGCATATCGTTTCATCCTCAGACGGACGGACAATCCAAGCGTACTATTCAGATTTTGGAGGATATGCTCTAAGCATGTGTTATTGACTTTGGAGGTTATTGGGATCAGTTCTTGCCATTAGCAGAGTTTTCCTATAACAACAGTTATCAGTCGAGCATCTAGATGGCTCCCTATGAGGCATTATATAGTAGGCAGTGTTGGTCGCCGTTGGGTGGTTTGAGCCGGGAGAGGCTCGGTTGTTGGGTACAGATTTAGTTTAGGATGCCTTGGAGAAGGTTAAGATTACTCAGGATAGGCTTCGTATAGCTCAGTCCAGGCAGAAGAGCTATGTCGACCGTAAGGTTCGTGACGTGGCATTCATGGTCGGACAGTGAGTGTTGCTTCGGGTGTCGCCCATGAAGAGCGTGATGAGATTTGGGAAGAAGGCAAAGCTAAGCCCTAGGTTCATCAGTCCTTTTGAGATCCTTGATCGATTGGGAGAGGTGGCTTACAAACTTGCGTTGCCGCCAGGTTTATCAGCTGTGCATCCAGTGTTTCATGTGTCCATGCTTCGGAGGTATCACGACGATCCATTCCACGTGTTAGACTTCAGCACTATCCAGTTGGACGAGGACTTGACCTATGAGGAGGAGCCAGTAGCCAGGTTCGTTAGCTAAGATCGAAGAGTTACCCTTCGATTCATGTTAAGTGGAGAGGTCAGTCTGCCGAGGCAGCTACCTGGGAGTCCGAGTCCGATATGTGGAGCTGATATCCCCATCTTTTCACCGACTCAGGTGCTTTTCTATGTCCGTTCAAGGACAAACGATTATTTTAGAGGTGAAGAATTTGATGACCCAAAAGGTCATCTCTTATTTTAGAAGTCAAATATGTGTTCTGAGGTCTTAAAAACTTCCTTTTGTCTTTAAAATTGAATTGAGTTGACTTCAGTCAACGTTTTAGGTAAACGGACCCGGACGTGTGATTTGACGGTTCCGGAGGTCTGTAGAAAAATATGGGACTTGAGCGTATGCCCGGAATTGAATTCCGAGGTCCCTAGTCCGAGAAATGAATTTTTGAAGAAAACTATTTAACTGAAAATAAAATGATTTTTGGAAATTTAATGATGCTTGATTTCGATGGTATTCGGCCCATATTTTGGTTCTGGAGCCCGGTACATATTTAATATGGTATTTAAGTGGTGTCTGTGAAATTTGGTAAGAAACGGAGTTTATATGACATGATTCGGATCCTCGGTTGTGAAAATAGAAACTTTAAGAGTTCTTGAGATTTTCATTGATTTTGATGCTAGATTCGTAGTTCTAGGTGTTATTTTAGCGATTTGATCGCGCGAGCAAGTCCATATGATGTTTTTAGACTTGTATGCATGTTTGGTTTGGAACCTCGAGGGCTCGGGTGAGTTTTGAATAGGCCACGGGGTGTTTTACACTTAGAGAATTCTATTGTTTGATGTTGCAGGTGCACATGTGTCTTGTGCCTCGCGATTGCAAAGTGTAAATGGTCTGAGGAAGAAATTCCTTCTTCGCGAACGCGGAGGACTGGAAGTGAACATGAAACACTGGGGGTGGGACCCTTCGCGAACGCGCTCATCCTCCCGTGAACGCGATGGTCAAGGGACCTGGGGGAGGGGAGTCTTGTCCTTCTACGCGAACGCGACCACTGGGTTGCGCACACGATGACTTGGGGGGAATTTCCTTACGCAAATGCGTGGATGGACAACACGAAGCCCTTAGGCCGTTGTGTATCGCGATCGCGTCAGACCTCTCGCGAATGTGATGAAGGTCTGTCCAGTGAAATTAAAACAGAACCAGCACGGGAGTCTTCCACAATTTCATATTTTCTTCCATAGAAACCGACCTTGGGAGATTTTTGGAGAGGGATTTTAACACCAAATCATAGGTTTTTGTTCTTAAACTCATCTCTTTCATTTTACATCAATCAACACCCATTAGATTTCTAGGCCTAAATCTTGTTCTTTCATGGTAGAATTAGGGATTTTTGGGAAGAATTGGGGATTTTACAAAATTGAGAATTTAGACCTCGATTTGGGTCGGATTCCGAAACTAATTACACATTTGGGCTCGTGGGTGAATGGGTGAATGGGTTTTGAACCTCGAGTTTTGACCAAGCGGGCCCGGGTTCAATTTTTGACTTTTTGGAAAAAATATTAGAAAACCTATAATTATGTATTGGAATTGATTTATTTAGCAATCATTGATGTTATAAAGTTAAATATGACTAGATACAAGTGAATTGGAGGTGAAATCTAAGGGGAAAGCGGTATTTGAGGCTTGAGTTTGGCCGTGGAATCAAGGTAATTGTTTGGCCTAACCTTAGCTGGAGGGATTAGGTGTTTTTGTCTTATTTGCTACGTGTTAGTGTTGAATATGACGTATAGGTGTAGTGACGAGTATCTATATGTTGGTGCCTAGCATGCCCTTGAGTCTTATATTGTGACTGTTGTGACTCTTATTATGTAATGTCCATGCTTAAATTGAATGTTATCCATGTTGAACAAGACTTATGATAATTTCTTGGTAATTGACCATTGTTGAGTATTGGCTCAAGTTGAGATTTATTTTGTGAAGTTAATTGTTGGACGTTATTGTTTTTACTGTTTGGGTGAGGAAAGAGTGATAAAACACGAAGGGTGATGCCGTGCACATTCATACTTATGCATATGATGAGGAAGAGTGATAAAGCACGAAAGGTGATGCCATGCACATTTACATTTATATTGATGCATATGGTAAGGAAGAGAGATAAAGCACGAAGGGTGATGCCGTGCACATTTCTATTATTGATTGCGTGGTGAGGATTGAGAGTAAAAGCACGAAGGGTGATGTCGTGCATTTTCTGTTTATTGTGCTCCTTTGCTGCTATCGGTTCAAGTGTTTTAACTGTTTAAATTCCTTACTGTTGTAATTCTTTATGGTGAAACCACATAGTATATTGCCCCTTCCCGTACATTTCTGCATGGTTTTTATTACTTGTTACTCTGTTATTATACTGATTAACTGCACATGTTTATGATGTTTGTCGTGTCTTAGACTCGTCATTACTTCGCCGAGGTTAGGCTCGACACTTACCAATACATGGGGGCGGTTGTACCGATACTGCACTTTGCACTTTTTGTGCAGATCTCGATGCCGGACCGTGTGAGTAGAGTTGGGTGGTTGTCTTCAGTCCAATGGAGACCCGAGGTAGTCCTGCAGGCATCTGCAGGCCTTGGCGTCCCCTTCTATCATGTTTCTTTTCTGTTTTATCTATTTCCGAGACAGATGTGTATTTCTTTGTTCAGACCATTATTTGTAGTATTCGTAGACTGTCCGTGAGTAGTGACACCAGTTCTCGGTGGAGTTTTACTACGGTTTCGTTATTTGTATTAAGATAATCTGTTAAATTCTGTTCTTCCGCGTTTATTCCGCTGATCTATTTTTGTTAACTTGTAAGCTGTTAAAAGATAAAGGAAAAAGGTAAAATAATCAGTAACGTTGACTTGCCTAACGGGTACAATATTAAGCACCATCATGGTCTCGACGATAGGAAATTCGAGTCGTGACAAGAAGTGATCAATTTACCAGAGAATTCCTATGTTGTTTTTTCCCTTCTCTAATTTTATTTCCACTCCTTGTGTCTTAATGTTATTGTTTAAATCTGAGTTTCCCTTTTTTTTTTTTTT